AGGATCTGTGTTTGAGATTAAATCTGATTCTTACGGCCCCTGAGTATGCACCAAGCTTAAGCTTCACTTTCTGTACAACTGGGGTGGTAACAGCTACCTGAAAGAGCTCCAGAAGATGAAAGCTTCTAACAGTGTGCTAAGTTGCCTCAGTCATGCCTGACTCTTTGAGACCCCATGGACTGTAGCCTGCCAGGCTCCTCTGTCCAAGGAATTCTCCAGGCAAGAATACTGGGGCGTGTTTCCATGCCCACCTCCAGGGGATCTTCCTTACCCAGGGATCAAACCTGAATCTCCTGCTTTGGCAGATGGGTTCTTTACCACTAGGGCCACCTGGGGAGCCTCTAAAAGAGTGTTTATTTTCTGAGCTTCTGTGCCTCTTTGTCCCCTTTTTCACCACTTGGAGAACTAGATCTAAAAATGCTCGGCACACATATCAGAAATAAGAAAATGCAAGACTCTGACACTAGCAAGTGTCCACAGTTAAAATGGTGAGTTAGGGAAGCACTATCAGAGAGTTTGAAATTGCAGAACTGGGTAGGGTTCATTCTGGAAAAGGCCTTCCAGGATTAAGTTTTGAAGATATCCATAGCAAGTTGAGGAGAAGGCAATGGCACCCCACTCCAGTACTCTTGCCTGGAAAATCCCATGGACGGAGGAGCATGATGGGCTACAGTCCATGGGGTCTCAAAGAGTCTGACATAACTGAGTTACTTCACTTTCACTTTTCACTTTCACACATTGGAGAAGGAGATGGCAACCCACTCCAGCGTTCTTGCCTGGAGAATCCCAGGGGCGGGAGAGCCTGGTGGGCTGCCTTCTATGGGGCTACACAGAGTCAGACACGACTGAAGCGACTTAGCAGCAGCAGCAGCATAGCAGGTTGAGTATGAAGTCTTTTTTTTTTTTTAATATAGTTGAAGTGTAATTGATTTACAATATTAGTTTCAGATGTACAACATAAGATTCAGTATTGTTACAGATTGTACTCCACTTAAAATTATCAAAGTAATGGCTATATTTCTCTGTGCTGTGTTCTTGTCTCTTATTTATTTTATGAATAGTAGTCTGTATCTCTTAATCCCATACCCTTATTTTGCCCCACCCTTCTTCCTCTTTTCCCACTGGTAACCACTAGTTTGTTCTCTATATCTGTGAGTCTGTTTCTATCCTGTTACATACATTTGTTTGCTTTCTTATTTTAGATTCCACAGAATGAATAAGTCTTCAGGGATGGATGGTATGTTGGACAGCAGTTAATATTATGTTCAGCAATGTGTGGGACATATACTACTAAGGATCTGACTGCTGTTTTATATGGTACAAAGGGATTAAGCGATGTGTAATCACACTGTTAGAGTTATTCCCCATCCAACTCTTTCAGTTCTTCTGACTACATCAAGAAGAAAGTCTCAGTTTGTACTAGACTAACTTTAACATTTCTCTAATATTAACACATTTTAACAAAGAGATCAGGCTTCAAGATTAGGGTCATCAAGAAGTAAAATATCTAGATGATTGTTTTATTTACATGGTCTTCATTTTTCCTATTTCCTCTGCTTAACTTTTACTCCATACTAAATTATCATGCTAAATTCCATGACATTAAAAAAAATTAAGTAGATTTAAATGTCAATGAAAGTAAACTTAAAATATTAAAGTAATAAAACAGGTGTTACACAGCTAGGGCAAGCAATCATAACAGCAGCCCAATAAGGAGTGATATTTAGAAAACACTGATTGGGCCCATCTCTCTCACAAGGAAACAGATGAGGAAACTGAGATTCAGAGAAAAGAAGTTACTGTTTTCCAAGATCGCATAGCTACCTGTCCTTAGGACTGAAGCTCAGAAGCTCAGTCCTTCTATGCCCTTCCTCATCTAATTCTGCACCAGACAACAAATTCTAGTGTTAAAAGGAAGGTGGTGAAAAACTAAAGTGTTCTTTGCACAGTCCTGTCCTATTCTTTGTGACCCCCAAGGACTGTAGCCCACCAGGTTCCTCTATCAATGGAATTCTCCAGGCAAGAATACTGGAATAGGTAGCCATTGTCTTCTGCAGGGGATCTGCCTGACCCAGGAATCAAATCCAGGACTCCTGCATTGCAGGCAGATGGTTTACCATCTGAGTCACCAGGTTGGATATAAAATAAAAACAGACTATGTGTTGCAAGTTGTTGGGAACCCACTGGTTCAAGAGGCTAGTAAGTGCAAATAAGGAAGATTTAGAGAAGGTGGACTTGTGTAGAATCTGAATCTGAACTTCATCAAGTCTAAGGCAATTCCTGAGGGTACCAAGAAAAATCTCTGAGTCAACTCAAAGGCAGTGGTGACAAAAATTTCTCTTGGAATCCAGCAGAGGTGGCTTGAATTCCAACTTCTCTACTTGGCAAGAGACCAGTGTATACCTCTCAGCTCATCTGTACAGATTTATGGGTGTGATAATAGCTAACATTTATGGAGCACATCATCTGCCAAGCCCAATGTGATGCATTATCTCACTTAACTCTCAAAAGAAGATGGACAGTAGTTATTATTATCTTCATATGATAGCTGAGGACATCTACAGCTAAACCAGTGCTGGAGCAGAATTTAAACCCAAGAAATTTCAGTCCAGAGTCTGACCTTAACCACACTCCTATTCTGGGAAAATTAAAGGCAAACAAGAGCTGTAAAGCACCTAGCCCAGCGCCTGGCACACAGTCGGCAAAATGCCTTCTCACTGTCCTCCTCTGCCCATGCTGTAGTGCTAGTCACTTCCTGCCACACAGCCAGAACTTTCTCTGCAGGGGCCTAGCCTGGGACTACAACTCCCAAGATGCACCAGGAGCGGACACTGACCAATCAGAAAGCCCAGTCTCACTTCCTCGGCCCAGCTCACGCTCTTCCCGCTTAACAGCGAGAAATTGGTGCGTCCCCACAGGGTCCCGGTTGTGGGCTGGCCTGGGTTAATGGGTTTTAAATAATCCTAATCCATCTTTGGCCTGTGTGGTGTAAGTGAAGACCTGTCCAGGCTGCCTCAAGTTGCATCTTAAGCCTGGCCCCAGTGCAGTTCGCAAGGTCTCTCAGCCCGTGGCTCCCAAGAGCCCGCTTTCCTCACAGGCACGCTCGTGTGTTGAGTCAAGAAGGGATGGTTGGCTGGGAGGGTCCGGGCGCGTCCGGTGGCCACGCTAAGTCTGTTTCGTTTTCTTCCGATCTGGCTTGGAAGCCTGAGGCCTGCGGAATCTTCCAGGCTGCCGCAGGTGCCATCTTCAGACCCTAGACTGTGGCCCCAGACCTGAGGCTCCTCCCGGGAGTCAGACTGAGAAGGAGGGGGTGGCTTTTAGAAGGAGAAGGGAATAATGATCCCCCTTTACGGGGACGGCCTGGCCTCCTGGCCTTTGGTCCCAGGATAGTGCCTTAGTTGCATTCATGCCTTCAGTCTATGGTATGGAGGGCTCCAGTGCTATTGGGCCCCGATCCTGGCCTCCACTTCCCAGCTCCTCGAGAAGCGCCGCTTGGCCGGCCTCTCCACTCTCAAGAGTGATGGCCTGACGGAGCTTCCTGGGGAAGGGTTGACCAGCTCTGGCCTCGATCTAGTCCAAAGGGGTCTCCTTACCACGCTGCCCTTTGAGCCCACCTACCTGTGGGCACCTAAGGGTCCTGGATAACTGGAACCCAGAGTGGGGAGGATCAACTTTCTTGGGCATTTCTCCTTCCATTTAGTTTCTAATTACCTCAGGGTTTTTACTTCTATTTTTGCGTTCATTTCTTTAAGGTTCTTGATCTGTGCCATCCCCACCCCACCTCCTTTGCTTTTTATCATCTTTACTTTCTCCTCAGACCTGTATATCTGACTTTGCTATACCCAAGTAAGATAGCTGTCATTCGACTTTGAGTGCCTGGGGACTTGTAGGTGGATGCAAAGTGTATTTTATTCATTGTCTGGAGGGCAAACAATTTATTTCTTTTACAGTGGCTCTGAAGTGAGTGAAATAGGATAAATTCCCTTGACTCAGGAAAAGGCAGGCGCAAAGAATTGATTCCAAGGTTAGTTTGTTCTCATTTTTTTGGACAAGCAGCATAAGGCATAACTTCCCATATTCTGTATTTCTGAAGTTGTGTGCACTAATTGTGGTTTATTCAAGCTATTTTGAGATATTTGAATGACTAAGGTTAGTTTCTAGTGAATGACCTAGAAACATCTCCATATGTTTATATCTGACACAATTGACTAAACATATGTTTTGTACATATAACAGAGTAATCGGTTGATTAATGTATCTCAGCTGAATTAAAATATGCATTGCCCTAACTCCCAAACCTAAAGTAGAAGTGTCCATGTTGCCATCTTCTTAGTCAAGGAATTATAATTGTGTCTTGTTTTATGCTTTAATATGTACTTAAATCATATTTGGATCCTGTCATTCAAGCATAAGTTAGAAAATGATGCTTATATAAATAAAATTAGAGAAGATAATATGAGATTGCTAAATTGTAAGGAAGTTTATGGGCTTCCCCAGTGTTTTAGCAGTAAAGAATCCTCCTGCAATGCAGGAGACCCAGGTTGGATCTCTGGAGGGCATGGCAACCCACTCCAGTATCCTTACTTGGAAAATCTGATGGACAGAGGAGCCTGGTGGGATATAGTATGTAGAGTCGCAAAGATTGGAAAGGACTGAAGCAACTGAGCACCGAGGCACAAGGTAATTTTGTAAGTGCTGAGGATTTCTGAAATGGAGACATCTGCATTTCCATTGTAAGGGCTCCATTGTATGGATATGGTTTGATTAAAGAAGCAGCCTCATCCTAAGAATTCTGGTTAGAGGTGTTTTCAGTTGAAAAATAGTACCAAGTTGATGACTTCCTGTGTGAGAATTCTAACCATTTAAAGAAACTATAATTTCACTAAAATTTTAGTTCTTAAATAACAGATTTTCTTCTTCCAGAAATGCTGAAAACTTGAGTATTTTTAAAGTATACATACACACTTCTGATTTATACATTGTTTCTCTTTTCAAACCAGATGATTAAGAATAATGTTACAGACCATAAACTAAATGTGGAAGCCATAATTAAAAACATTAACACAATTTCTTTGGAGCTAAAAAAAATGAATGGTAAGTAGGAATCACTGAATTAAAATGTTTGCAGGTCATTGTTATAAAGAGTAGTCAATTTGTGCTTCTGGTGGGATGTAACTGAATTTTGCCTATTCATTCAGTTCAGTTCAGCTGCTCAGCTGTGTCCGACTCTGCGACCCCATGAACTGCAGCATGTCAGGCTTCCCTGTCCATTACCAACTCCTGGTGTCCACCCAAACCCATGTCCATCGAGTCGGTGATGCCATCCAACCATCTCATCCTCTGTTGTCCCCTTTTCCTCCTGCCCTCAGTCTTTCCCAGCATCTGGGTCTTTTCCAGTGAGTCAGCTCTTCGTATCAGGTGGCTAGATGGAGTTTCAGCTTCAACATCAGTCCTTCCAATGAACACCCAGGACTGATCTCCTTTAGGATGGACTGGTTGGATCTCTTTGCAGTCCAGGGGACTCTCAAGAGTCTTCTCCAGCACCACAGTTCAAAAGCATCAATTCTTCGGCACTCAGCTTTCTTTACAGTCCAGCTCTCACATCCGTACATGACCACTGGAAAGACCAGTGACTAGACGGACCTTCATTGGCAAGGTAACGTCTCTGCTTTTTAATATGCTATCTAGGTTGATCATAACTTTCCTTCCAAGGAGTAAGCGTCTTTTAATTTCACTGCTGCAGTCACCATCTGCAGTGACTTTGGAGCCCAGAAAAATAAAGTCAGCCACTGTCTCCACTGTTCCCCATCTATTTGCCATGAAGTGATGGGACCGGATGCCATGATCTTAGTTTTCTGAATGTTGAGCTTTAAGCCAACTTTTTCACTCTCCTCTTTCACTTTCATCAAGAGGCTCTTTAGTTCTTCTTCACTTTCTGCCATAAGGGTGGTGTCATCTGCATATTTGAGGTTATTGATACTTCTCCCGGCAATCTTGATTCTAGCTTGTGCTTCCTCCAGTCCAGTGTTTCTCATGATGTACTCTGCATATAAGTTAAAAGCAGGGTGACAATATACAGCCTTGACGTACTCCTTTTCCTATTTGGAACCGGTCTGTTGTCCCATGTCCAGTTCTAACTGTTGCTTCCTGACCTGCATACAGGTTTCTCAGGAGGCAGGTCAGGTGGTCTGGTATGCCCATTTCTTTCAGAATTTTCCAGTTTATTGTGATCCACACAGCCAAAGGCTTTGGCATAGTCAATAAAGCAGAAATAGATGTTTTTTCTGGAACTCTCTTGCTTTTTCAATGATCCAGTGGATGTTGGCAATTTGATCTCTGGTTCCTCTTCCTTTTCTAAAACCAGCTTGAACATCTGGAAGTTCACATATTGCTGAAGCCTGTTCATTAGGATTTCTCTATTTCTTAAGCAATGTTTACAATGTAATATGAACTAGATCTCTGAAGATGCATTACGTTTGAGCATTGACCTGAAAGATAGCAGACTTGAATTTTCATCCCCGACATTTTATAAAAAGCTTCAGTTCAGTCACTCAGTCGTATCCGACTCTTTGCGACTTCATGGACTGCAGCATGCCAGCCTTCCCTGTCCATCACCAACTCCTGGAGCTTGCTCAAACTCATGTCCATGGAGTCGGTGATGCCATCCAACCATCTCATCCTCAGTGGTCCCATTCTCCTCCTTATAGAAACCTTATGATGTCTAACTAACCCCTCTAAATTTATTCCCCATCCTTCCCTTCAACAAACTATTACAGAGTGATGTCACAGTCTGCAAAATTCAGTATCTTTATCCATTAATCATTACTAAGTCTCTAAAGTTCCTTCTAAGTCAAAACTTGTAAGTTTGCTTGATTGTGTGAATTGATGATTCTAGTAGGATTAGACCTTATAGATCATGATATTTAGTCACTCACCTTACAGACATATTCTGTAATTTTATTCCAGGCATGTAGAATTTTTGTGATTGAATATTTCATCTATTCTTGACCAACCATTTCCTGTGTTGGGAAAAACTCTGTGTTGGAAAACTCTCTCTGTTACCAGTCTATTCTGTATTAGACAGTTTTTCATCATGGACTAGCTGAAATCTTTTCCCTATCCTTTCACCCACTGGTCATTTTTCTAACCATGAAAATCCAAGTAGGGAGTCCCTGTTAGGTTTTTCCATGTATTCTCCTAAACATTTCCCACATTTATGGCAGAAAGCAAAGAAAACTAAAGATGCTCTTGATGAAAGTAAAAGAGGAGAGTGAAAAAGTTCACTTAAAACTCAACATTCAGAAAATTAAGATTATGGCATCTAGCCCCATCACTTCATGGAAAATAGATGGGGAGACAATAGAAACAGTTACAGACTTTACTTTGGGGGCGCCAGAATGCAGATGGTGACTACAGCCATGAAATTAAAAGATGCTTGCTCCTTGGAAGAAAAGTTATGACCAATCTAGACAGCATATTAAAAAGCAGAGACATTACTTTGCCAACAAAGGTCCATCTAGTCAAAGCTATGGTTTTTCCAGTAGTCATGTATGGATGTGAGAGTTAGACTGTAAAGAAAGCTGAGCGCTGAAGAACTGACACTTTTGAACTGTGGTGTTGGAGAAGACTCTTGAGAGTCCCTTGGACAACAAGGAGATCCAACCAGTCCATCCTAAAGGATGGACTGAATATTCATTGGAAGGACTGATGCTGAAGCTGAGACTCCAATACTTTGGCCACCTGATGCAAAGAACTGACTCATTTGAAAAGACCCTGATGCTGGGAAAGATTGAAGGTGGGAGGAGAAGGAGATGACAGAGGATGAGATGGTTGGATGGCATCACCGACTCAATGGACATGTGTTTGAGTAAATTCCGGGAGTTGGTGATGGACAGGGAAGCCTGACGTGCTGCAGTCCATGGGGCCGCAAAGAGTCGGACATGACTGAGAAGCTGAACTGACTGAAGCATTTCCCAAGCACTTCATGGACTTTGATCCGGGAACACTGCTGTCTCAGGTGATGTTAATAGATGTTATAAATGGAATCAGTGAACTGATGATCAAATAATTTTGGGAAGGGCTTTATGCTAGGTAATTCTGTCACAAATTCGCAGTACATATTAACAGAGGCTGTGAGGAGTCTGATGTAAAGCAATAGGGTTACCTTTGCTTAATTCATCATCTCTCAAAAGCAATCTCAACAGCAAGGATTATCCTCTGAAATATAAATCTTCTGAAAATGCTCATTGGCTCATCATTGTCCTCAGGACTAAGTCCAGACCTCCTAGAATGGAGGTCCTTGACATCAGACCCTGCCTACCTCTCCTTTCTGCTACCTTATTCTTCATTCCCTGCACATTCCAGGCTCCAACCACATTGAACTACCTGCATATCTACACATTTGCTCTTTTTTGTGACTGTGCCTTAATTATTACACGCATATTCTCCTGAAGTGCCCACTCCACATCCACAGGTTGCCTCCCCACCTCCTCCTCACCAGGTTAACTGCTACTTATTAGTCACAGTTACTAACATTCAAAAACGTTTTTTAAGCCAGTATGTCATTTCTTCTACTTTGTCATATCACCTATCATACTATATTGTAATTGTATGTTTGCTTACTTATCCCATCCCTTAAGGTTATTCCTAGCTCTTAACCCAGTGCCTTTATATAATAGGCTTTGGACCAACATTTATTAAATGAATAATTGATTCTGGATGCTTGCACTCATTTGAAACAATTAGAGAAGCTTTAGATTCTTCTCAAACTAGATTGACTGTTCTAATTTGGCAATTATTCTTTCATGAAGTGCAATAGAATAAATATGATCAATGTTTTCCTGAAAAGTCGTGGGATAGGCAGGCAGTGAAGATACAAAGGACTAATAGAGCCAGACTAGGAAGGTAGACTTCTGGTAAACATGGAAGATTAAATAAACACTCCATTACACCCACTTTCTCCCAGAAGTATTAACGTCAATAGCTAACACTTACAGCATTTACCATAATTCAGATACTCTTCCAAGAGCTCTACATAAATGGACTGAATTGCTATAACAACCTTATGAGGTTGGAAATATTACCATTGACATTTCCAGATATAGAAACAGATACAAAGGGATTAACTAACTTTCCCAGAGTTACACAACTGGTAGATCTGGGACTTAAAAGTCTCACAAGTTGAAGGAAATAGTAGTACTAAAACAAGGGTCTTAAGACAAAGTTTGCATACTGACCTAAAAAACCCATAGCTTTCTTTCCCCACTTGGCTACAAAACATTGGCGACCAGATTTGTACACTCAGGCAGATTGTCATTTCAGGAATCTGATAAGCCTAAGAGAAAAGACCTAAGTTTTTAGGTTTATCAGGTTTTTTGTTTATCCTCAACAAAACACCCAGCCAGATCACCACACAATAATTGCCATGGGAAAGAAATTCTAGTTGTCTTTTTAGTATGATAGTCTTAAATATGAGCAGACAACTATGGAAAAAAAAGATGTTTGAGGAAACCATCTAATATGAAAAGCAGAGACGGAACCAATAAGTAGATTCAATCAGTGAGGAGAAAAAGATTACAAATGAAAACTAAAAATTCTAAGAAACTGTCGTTAATATCCACAGAGAAGTAATAGAAGATGCTACATTTATGAAAAAGGAATAGGATACTATAAAAATATTTGGAGGGAGTCTGAAAGATGGTGGAGGAATAGGGACAGGGAGACCACTTTCTCCCCTACAAATTCATCGAAAGAACATTTGAACGCTGAGCAAATTTCACAAAACAACTTCTGATCGCTAGCAGAGGACATCAGGCGCCCAGAAAAGCAGCCCATTGTCTGCAAAGGGAGGTAGGACAAAATATAAAAGATAAAAAGGGAGACAGAAGAGCTGCGGACGGAGACCCGTCCCGGGAAGGGAGTCTTGGTAGAGGAAGTTTCCAATCACCGGGAAACCCTCGCACTGGCGGGACTGGGGCGAGTTTTCGGCAATCTAACTGGGAGGAAAAATTGAATAAGGCCCACAGATTACGTGCCTGGAGGCAACTCCCAGCAGAGAAGTGCCCCGGATGCCCGCACCCGCCAGCGACGGGCGG